GTTTTGCCATTTTCAGTTCATTGCTGTCTGTGCTTTGTTCGCCGTTGCCAGTGCTGGCGTCATCCCAGCCACTGAGGTATATCATGCTGCTCCTGCTGCTGCCGTAGTTAAAACCGTTACTCCTGTTCATGTTGCTGCCCAGCCTATTGTGGCCAAGGCTGTAGAAGAATTCGATCCCCATCCTCAATACAAATATGCCTATGATGTCCATGATACCATTTCGGGTGACTCGAAGAGTCAAGTTGAGGAACGTGATGGCGATGTGGTCCGTGGTGAATATTCATTGATCGATGCTGATGGTTTCAAACGTACCGTCCAATATACCGCTGATGATGTAAATGGTTTCAATGCTGTTGTTAGTCGTGAACCTGTTGTGGCTAAGACTGTTGTTGCTGCCGCTCCAGCTACTGTTGTCAAGACTGTTGCTGCTGCACCAGCTGCTATTGTGAAAACTGTAACTCCTGTCGCTCACATTGCTGCTCCCGCTGCTGTTGTTAAAACCGTAGCTCCTGTCGCTCACATTGCAGCTCCTGCTGCTGTTGTTAAGACTGTAGCTCCAGTGGCTCATGTTTCCCATGTCGGCACACCAGTTGTTGCCCATGTTGCTGCCCCTGCCACTTACATTGCTCATCACTAAATTGACAATGTATGTTTAATGTAGTTTCTTAAATAAATTTAATGTTATTATTGAAATTATTTCATTGATAATTTTCACAGACCTTCCCGTCACTTTTGGTTTATTCAGGTTTTTAAGGGTTGTTTGGTACCTTTTTAACCGAAACGTATCTAATTTTATGTTTTGGATTTTTATTGAGTAGACAATCTTCCTACAAAAATAAATAAATAAAATAAATAACGGGTGGAAAATTTGCTAACAAAAAATTATTAAGATCGATGGGTTGCCCCATTTAGCGATACCGATATTTTGAGGCAAGTTTTTAAACTACATTGGATGTATTATTAAAAAAAAATAATAAAAAAACCTTTACTCACTTCATGCTGCAAAGGTTACTCTGCTTCGTGCTCACAAAATAGACAGACGGACATTTGTAAATCGCCTCCGAATTGTCTGAAAGGGATTTTGTAAAATGGTCGTAGCAAAGTGTGTATACCCCACATTTGCATGAGGATGAGGGTATAAACATTAACGTATCCTGAAAATTTTCTGGGAAGCAGGTTTTACTAACCAGGAATAATAAGATCAATATAAATCCAATTCACAATTTACCAAAAATATATTTGTCACCCTTCAATAACCTGGAATGCGGAATTGAAGCTACTTGGTTTAGAAAATGTGTCTAGAACCTCAAACTACCACAAAGAAGTTGGATTATTATATAGTAGTTTAAGATTCTGGACATATTTCGAAATTTTTCTGAAAAATATTGCTCAAACTCCTAGAACCTGGTATACCAAATTACATCCCTTTAGTAGGAGAATGCGGCTATAACATACAACATACAGAAAATTAAGCGAGACACTTATTTAGATGGGTGATATGCCCATAAACCGATTTGGAATATTTTCGATAAATATGTTTTTCACTTTCCAAGAACTCGGAATCTCTTTTAACAGCTACTTCGGTGTGAAAATGGGTCTAAATCCTTCCAAAATATAAACCAGTAAGGAATGTAGTAAAGTTGCACGGAAACGACTATATGATACCCTTCACCACTTTAGGTATATTCATCAGATGAAGGACCATTTTTGAAGGACCATTAACATGAAAATAAAAATGTCATTCTGCGACCTATACTAAATTTTGGTCAGATATAGAGTTGCTTCTTACAATGGAAGAAAATTATGTAAATAAATTTAAAGCAAAATATCGAAATCTAAACCGATTTCATCGAAACTTGTCATATGTTAGGTTACACTTATTTCAATATGTTTTGTGCATTCGGTCACATTTTGAGTTCTTCATTTACTTATAAATCCAAATTTCGTGCAAATCGAAGGATATACAAGGACGTTGGTACACCATTTACATAAAATCGGACGAACATATATATGAGAGCTATATCTAAATCTGAACCGATTTTCACGAAATTTAACACACATCTTTCTAGACTTAATTCAGTATGCTATGCCAAAATTCTGGCAAATCGCGTCCTGATTATAAGAAAAATTCAAAAAACACCGAAAATCCGGCTTCAAAATGTCAGCATCTGTTTTGGGTGGATGCAGTGATTATATAAAAAAATCATACATTAGAACCATGTTGTCCATGGGATATTCTTCAACTTGGTCATTGATCACATGTGCGTGCGTTGTGTAGTTTAGCCACAAAGAAAGAAAGAATACAAAGAAGGAAAGAATACAAAAAACAAAACTTGCTGGCTTCAACACATTTCACCCAATTGTTTACATTACCATCATCACAGCTTCCACGCAACTTATTATTTACGGCCAATATTCTAAGATTTTGACAAGAACACTTCATTTTATAGAAATGAATTTAAATTATATGCAATATGTTCATATTTCTTGAGTTATAAGCATGCAAACCTCAGTTTCAAGGAATTTAAAACATTTTTGTAATTTCCCATATACCCTCATTTGCCATAAGACTGTTATATATAAAAAAACTCAGAAATATTTGTATGTCCCCATATGAAATACATACATACATTTTGCCATAAAATAAAACACCATTCTATACAGACATCGTAGCCAAATACGCCATATAATTATTTATATATCTCAATCATAAAATACGAATTTTTGCTTCTACTCAAATCTCCACCTACATTCAATTATTATTTCTATTATTCCGGATATCTCGAACATTTCAAAAAATCTTTAAAATTGCTTCAAATTTGAGCAAGTTCTTTGCGTCACAAACACGATTACCAAGAACAACAACAACAAAAATCAATATCCGGTAGCTTAACTCCCAAATGTGTTGTTCTTTTCCACTCTGGCAAAACACTTTGAATGTCAAATTATTATTTGTTTTTTTTTTCTTGTGAATATGGTTCAAAGCTCATTACACCGTTGACGGATTTGTTGTTTGAGCCAAGTTTAATTTTGTGGTCAAAAGAAAAATTACTCCAATTATTTGTGAGTATGTATTTTATTTGGGTTTTTGTTTGTTTATTTAGAAGGACGGACATGGAGATAAACGCACATATCTGGACACATAAAGAGACACGTCTTGTTGCTTAGCGTCAAAACAGAAATGAATTGACACAATTTGTTTTCTTTTTCGGTAGACATCGAATGCCAATGTCAAACCTTTCGCCTGTAAAGTATAACATAGGCATAAGCATTTAGAGCGGTTTTTTACGAGATGTTGTGTGTGACAATTTGATGGATTTTAGAGGGTTATTACAATGGTGTTACAAATGAATAAAAATATTATCGTGGTGGTATGAGGGCATTTTTAAACAATCCAACACAGTGTACGGTAAATTAAAATCGTTTTTGCTTTCGTAACTTATCGTGGTGTACACCTTGTTGGGTAAATGGCATTTGTACAGAACATGCTCAAGAGATGTTCATGTTTTAACATATCCCTCTTTTCCATGGCATAGTCCCATATAAAAATTCCGATCGTTTTTAAGTATTTTGAATGACCATCTCATGGAGAAAGGTATAAAAGTTCGACCCGGCTGAAATTAGGGTCGTTGTTAATTGTGTTAGTTTTGTGTGGTTTTAATCCAGCTAGGGTTTAAGGGTGTTAACAAACGACCAATATATTTTCCATTAAATGTACTACTTTGATGTAGTTAGAACATCCCATTCACGTCCATTTAGATTGAGGTTTCCTTCATATTTACATTTTGACATTTATTACCATATATCCAACAATTTTACAAGCAACCTTTAATGATATCATATTTGATAACCCCATTCACGTTTACTACATGTTTAAGCCGCTGCCCAACAATTCATTCATAAAAAATTAATTAGCCCTGCGCGACGACGTTTACACTTTGTCACCAGAAATCTGCTGTGGTATGCGAGTACACAAAAAACCGAACGAATTTTTGGCGTAAACTGACACTGAGTAATTTTGTTTCATTTTTTCTTTAATTTGTTTCTTATCGTATAAAAGCTGTTGACGGAACACAATTCTTATCACAATTAATTGAACATTCAATTCAATTACATTTAGACCAATTCCAGAAAGGGTCAGTGCTAATTAATTTTAACGAAATGGCTTTCAAGGTAGGTTAACAAACAGAGACTAAGACTAAGATAAAAGGACCAAGGATTAATTGTTTTTTTTCTGATTTGATTTTCTAGTTTGTCGCTGTATTTGCTTTGCTCGCCGTTGCCAATGCTGGCATCCTTCCAGCTGCCCAAGTATATCATGCCGCTCCCGCTGCTGTGGTAAAGACCGTCACCCCAGTTTTGACCAAAGCCGCTGAAGAATACGATCCTCATCCCCAGTACAGATACGGTTATGATGTTCAAGATGCCATCTCCGGTGACTCCAAGAGCCAAGTTGAAGAACGTGATGGTGATGTTGTACGTGGTCAATACTCTTTGATCGATGCTGATGGTTACAAGCGTACTGTTCAATATACTGCTGATCCCGTCAATGGTTTCAATGCCGTTGTCAGCCGTGAACCTTTGGTAGCTAAGGCTGTTGTTGCTGCTCCCACCGTTGTCAAGACTGTTGCTCCAGTTGCCCACTACGCCGCTCCCGCTGCTGTTGTCAAAACTGTTGCTCCAGTTGCTCACTACGCCGCCCCTGCTTATCACACCTATGCTGCTCCCGCTGTTGTTAAATCAGTAGCTCCAGCCTATACCACATACTCTGTACCAGCTGCCCATGTCGTCCATCACTAAATGTCCATTTCGTTGAAAAAGAAGAATTGTGACCTGATTGCCTAATGTTGTTGAGTTAATAAATTATTTTAATATTAAAAGTTATTCGTGTTTGAAGCATACGGAAATAATCGAATGGGACTCTATCCGTTAACATATTCAGGAATATATAGGAATATTTAACATAGAGACATGATAAATTTAAAACTGCGTTGGACCACGGTTTCAAAATAGTAATTATACATTCCCCCAAATATTAGATATTTTTGTTATGTTTTAGCCATGCCCTTCGGTCAGCCTGTTGAAATCACTCAAGAGATCGCAAAATTATAAGAAAGAGATGTTTGAAAGTTTTGCAAAATGGGATAATTCGGGCAACTTTTAAGGGGAAGTCCCCATATAACGGTATTCCTCAAAACTCGGAATTTGGGGGGTTTTCAACAAATTACCTGTAATTTATTATTACGGGTTCCCACTAGGTAGAAAATATTCAAATACAAAAATTTATCAATATTGATTTTCATTAGGAAGACAATCCCCGTATCAACAATGATCAATGTGAGTTCATGTTTCGAGGTAGTCCCCACAGGGCGGTACCTCCCCAATATGTTTTATTTTGGATTGTCTATTATTTTCAATTGTGAATTACCAAAAATGTTATATATCAGTCCATGTTTTCGGGCAGCCCCAGATAATGGTATTTCCCATAATTTTGCATTTTGGGAGAACTTGGTCACATTTTTTCCACTGAATGGGCTCTAATTTGATGTTTTAGGTTATCATGGGACGTCAGATCTGCTTTACAAATATGAACATCACTTTTGGTACAGCTCCATATAATGCAAGCAACCCCTTTTTCTGTGGAACCTTAGCATTTAGGAATATTAGTTTCATAATATCGCCCAGGAACTAAAAATCGACCATAAAACTGTTTAAAATCATTTACACAAATATAGGGAACATACCAAAAAGTGGACCTATACCGTCATTTCTAAAAACGGATTATGTCAACCATAATACAAATTTCAGAAATTTTTAATGAGTAATTTTACCCTCATCTTTATGGCTGATGAGGTTGTATACACTTTAACACCGTGAAAATGTGTCTCATCGAAATATTGGTTCTAGTCCCCATGTTTCTTTTGACCAAATACGTTTCAGAAAATTTAGATCTCATTCAAATTTTGCCCATCTTATTATTTCTTCCAAACTTAGTTCAAATTCGAAGATGGGGAATATCGGTCCAATTCTTCTGGAACCTTCATATAGGAGCTAAGCCTAAATGGGGCTATATTTCATTATCGAAAGTTCTAATTTTTATCTCATCCGCATGATGAAATGATTACAACAGAGTCTTAGAACCAAACTCAAAACGCGGAATAAATCAGATAACTATTTTAATATAATCAAGTGAAAAAGCGGTATGTTCGGCCGGGCCGAACTTGGGATACCCTCCACCATAGATATATTGACAGGTACCAGAAATGAATATATTGGGAACATACCAAAAAGTGGACCTATACCGACATTTCTAAAAACGGATTATATAAACCATAATACAAATTTTAGAAATTTTTAAAGAATAATTATACCCTCAGCCTTATGGCTAATGAGGGTGTATACACTTTAACACGGTGAAAATGTGCCTCATCGAAATATTAGTTCTAGACCCCATGTTTCTTTGGATCAAATCCGTTTCAGGAAATTTAGATTTCATCCGAACTCTGCCCATCCTATTATTTCTTTCAAGCTTAGTTCAAATTCTGGAACTTCCAATCAGGGGCTAGGTCTAAATGCGGCTATAGTTCATTATCGAACCTTACGTTGTAATTTTTTATCTCTCTATCCTCCGCAGGTGAAATGATTACAAAAGAGTCTTAGAACCAAACTCAAAACGCGGAACAAATCAGATAACTATTTTAATATAAAAGGGGGGTTATATGGGGACTACCCCAAAAAGGGGGCGAATATTAATTAATTTTTGGTAGGGAGATTTGTTACCGTATACGACTACAAAATACCAAATTGCAGCAAATTCGGTTGAAAAACGCGCTCAAGAACCCCAAAATGACGAAAATTGGGGGTGGGGGGTACCCTAAAAATGGACCTATATTCATAATTTTTTGTGGAGAGATTTGGATCCTATTAAGAACCCAATGTACCGAATTTCACCGTATTCTGTTGAAAAACGCGCCGATTTGGTACCTATTAAGAACGCGATTTGGTACCTATTAAGAACTCAAAATACTAAATTACAGCCAACTCGGTGGAAAAATACGATCAAAACCTCCAAAATACTGAAAATTAGGAGGTACCGTTATATGGGGCTACCAGAAAAAGGAGGATGGGGAATATCGGTCCACTCATTCTGATTCCTCCCGCAAAAAATTGTGCTGAAAATGAATTTTATAATATCAGAACAGACCATAATCATACCCAGAACTTTATGTAAAATTGCATAGCGATCAGTGCGATATTTACACCTTCTAGAGTGCTAATATTAATACTGAACAATATCAAAATAGGTAGGCTTCTGTTTTACGAATAACTCTCACATACTAGTACATACAACAACAATCAATCTGTCAATTAATAACGGCATCTTTCCCGGTCTATGGCATTCAGCTGTAATTATATGCGCCATATATATATATATATATATATATATATATATATATATATATATATATATATATATATATATATATATATATATATATATATATATATATATATATATATATATATATATATATATATATATATATATATATATATATATATATATATATATATATATATATATATATATATATATATATATATATATATATATATATATATATATATATATATATATATATATATATATATATATATATATATATATATATATATATATATATATATATATATATATATATATATATATATATATATATATATATATATATATATATATATATATATATATATATATATATATATATATATATATATATATATATATATATATATATATATATATATATATATATATATATATATATATATATATATATATATATATATATATATATATATATATATATAATATATATATATATATATATATATATATATATATATATATATATATATATATATATATATATATATATATATATATATATATATATGTGTATATTTGATCCGCTTAATATTGAGCGATCATTATTAGAAAAAGTCATACTTGTTCCTTGTTCATACCCTTTTTCCGTGAAAAGAAAATGTTGTGCAAATGTCCCCACCGAAGTGACAATAATTTGGCATTCCAGATCCCCGGTGAATAATAAAACGTCTCGGATAATTTTCAATATAGGTAATTGGAATTGAAATTTGATATTTGATTTTCACGGAGTATAAACAAGGTACTAGCAGAGAATTTAAAGTGATATAGTTCCGACCTTCTTAAGAAATTTTGATTAGGCAGGAGGTTAGTTGGAGCTTATCAAAATCTCAGCCCCGCCAAACTTAATAACGTGTTTCCTTGTTGATCATACCCAAGGGCTTATATTTCCATTCGACTTAATGGGATATTAAAATGTTGACCTGATGCACTAATATTCTTAATATACCATTATAATGTGAAGGCTATAAAAACTTAAATGTTGTCTTTCCAATGCATACAAAAAACAAATATTTTTATCATAAAATAATTAGATATTGTTATTCATTTAGCTACCAAAGTATGTACAACAATAAATAAAATAACAGTATTTAACGAATATTAACAACAACATTGAAACTTAATGATGGTATTCGTAGGTGGGAGTTTCATAAGATGCATAATGAGTGGGAGCAGCATAGTGAGCAACGGGAGCCACAGTCTTAACAACAGTAGCTGGAGCAGCATAATGAGCCACGGGAGCAACATGTTTAACAACAGTAGCTGGAGCAGCATAGTGGGCAACGGGAGCTACAGTCTTCACCACAGCATGACCCAAAGGTTCACGTTGAACGACAGCATTGAAACCATTAGCATCATCGGCTGTATAACTGACAGTACGTTTGTAACCATCAGCATCAATCAAGGAGTATTCACCACGTACAGCATCACCATCACGTTCCTCGTTTTGATTCTTGGAGTCACCGGTCAATTTATCTTCAACACCATAGCTGAATTTGTACTGAGGATGAGGATCAAAATCTTCCGATTTGACAACAACTTTTTGAGCTACTGCCACGGGAGCAGCGGCAGTTTGATAGGTTACTGGAGCATAACCTGCACTGGCGACTGCGACAAAGGCAAGGGCAAAAATGAACTAGAAATACAAAAAAAAAATCAATATAAAATATTTAATTGTAATGTTGCCAATTGGTTGCTTTGTTCGAATGACTTGACAAACAATGGTCAGCCAACCATTCACTCACCTTAAAGGCCATGTTGTTGTGATAATTAAATCTCTGAATACTGTTGAAGTTCTTTAAAGGCGTAAACACCAAATGTGAATGATGCCGATATGAAGTTTTGATCAACTTTTATACAAAATTATATCAAAGGCATAGCAATGTTGAAAACAATAACTCCATGTAATTTATCAATTAATGCATTATGTTCAAGACAATTATGTTAAATATTTGACTCATAATACGCTGGAGTGAAAGGAGATTAAAATTTTGGGGAGTTATTTAAACGGATTGAAGTAATTTTTAATATACTCATAGGGTCAGGTGCATTTTTCCAAAGAATTAAATACCATGTATTATGTAGTCAAATATGGTTATAGCGAACTAGTAGGGACCAAGGAAATAGGTTCGTTCGCTATGTCCGAGATGAGACAAAACATAAGCTTATCAGAAAAAAATATTCCAGTTAGGACTAGTATTTCTGTAGTTCTTTTGACAGTATTTTTTAGCTTCTGTTTTTTTTTATACCCTCCACCATAGTATGGAGGGTATATTAGTTTTGTTTTTCCGTTTGTAACGCATCGAAATACTCATTTCCGACCCTATAAAGTATATATATTCTTGATCAGCGTAAAATTCTAAGACGATTTATGCATGTCCGTCTGTCCGTCTGTCTGTTGTAATCACTCTAGCGTCTAAACGAATTGAGATAGAGCCCCAAAATTTCGCATAGAGTCGTCTTTTGTCTGCAGACAGGTCAAGTTCGAAGATGGGCTATATCGGTCCACGTTTAGGCATAGCTCCCATATAAGGTTACCCCCCAATTTTCGGTATTTTGAGGTTCTTGAGCGTGTTTTTCAACCGAATTCGCTGAAATTTGGTACTTTGAGTTCTTATTGGGTAGCAAATATCCCCACTAAAAATTATAAATATAGGTCCATTTTTTCGGACAGCCCCCATGTAAGGGTAACCCCAAAATTTCGGTATTTTGAGGTTCTTGAGCGTGTTTTTCAACAGAATTCGCTGAAATTTGATACTTTGAGTTCTTATTGGGTACCAAATAAACCTACTAAAAATTATAAATATAGGTCAATTTTTTCTGGTACCCCCCATATAACGGTACCCCTCAATTTTCGGTATTTTGGGGTTCTTGACCGCGTTTTTCAACGGAATTCGCTGAAATTTGCTATATTGGGTTCCTATTGGATAATAAATTTCTCTACAAAAAATTATGGATATAGGTCCACTTTTTCTGGTAGTCCCCATATAACGGTACCTCCTAATTTTCAGTATTTTGGGGGTTTTGATCGTATTTTCCGCCGAATTAGCTGTAATTTAGTATTTTGAGTTCTTAATAGGTACCAAATCTCCCCACAAAATTATGAATATAGATCCATTTTTTCGGATAGCCCCCATATAAGGATACCCCCAATTTTCGGTATTTTGGGGTTCTTGAACGCGTTTATCGACCGAATTTGCTGCAATTTGGTATTTTGTAGTCGTATATGGTAACAAATCTCCCTACCAATTAATAATTCGCCCCCTTTTTGGGGTAGTCCCCATATAACCCCCTTTTTATACCCTCCACCATAGTATGGAGGGTATACTATTTTATATTAAAATAGTTATCTGATTTGTTACGCGTTTTAATTTTGGTTCTAAGACTCTGTTGTAATCATTTCACCTGCGGAGGATAGCGAGATAAAAAATTAGAACGTAAGGTTCGATAATGAACTATAGCCGCATTTAGACCTAGCCCCTGTGTGGAGGTACCAGAAGAAGTGGACCGATATTCCCCATCTTCGAATTTGAACTATGTTTGGAAGAAATAATAAGATGTGCGAGGTTTGAATGAAATCCAACTTTACTGAAACGGATTTGGTCCAAAGAAACATGGGGTCTAGAACCAATATTTCGATGAGGCACATTTTCATTGTGTTAATGTGTATACACCGTCATTAGCTGTAAGGCTGGAGGTATAATTATCCATTAAAATTTTCTGAAATTTGTATTGTTGTTTACATTATGGTTTACATAATCCGTTTTTAGAAATGTCGGTATAGGTCCACTTTTTGACATGTTCCCTATATTTTCATTTCTAGTACCTGCGCGTATATCTATGGTGGAGGGTATCCAAAGTTCGGCCCGGCCGAACTTAACGCTTTTTCACTTGTTTTTTTTTGCCAGGGTAATAATGAATTTTTGTGGGGATTATCCCCGTTAAGTATTAGGTAAATTTGTACCAAATTCGTTATATGCAAACTAAAATCAATAAAAAATTAAAAGTTAGGAAAAAATGTGTAGTTAGTTATAAACAAGTTAGATATATCTGTAGTTCGATATGGAAGTAAAGTTATGTGTGAAAAATATGTCTAGGAATATGAAATGTGTTCTCTATAAATAAAAGATCGCTACCAGCAACTGGACAACATAAAATCTACCCGATACATGATCGGAAAACCTTATATCTAAGAGCACTAATATCTTTCGAACGAATGGCACATTATGAAGAACTGTCGGATTCGACTGAAATATTTACCATGAATATATCACATTGATAGAATTTATTTGCGAGGAATAGTTCCGGATACTAAAATGTATTAATCTCGCTTAAAGATAATAATCTTTATATGTGATACAAAAATATTCCTCATACGGTTTGACTGCAGACATATATGACAATTTATAGCCACTTTGGTGGGGATATCCGGCAAAATCATAAAAATACCAGAAATGACAAACATTAGACAGAATTGCCAAATTACAGCCAGTTGAGTTGGAAAAAGTGAATGACGCCTTCAAAAACCCGTAGTTGGGCGGGGCATTTGTGCAGGAGCAATGTCAAAACATTGACTGATATTGACAATTTTTTATCAGCCTCAATAGAAACCGATATTAGCTAATTACAGACACTATTGTCAAATACCGATAATGAAGCTCTATATAGGTTTTACAAACATTCATTGACCTTTTTGGGGGAGATTTCGGATTTTCGTTAATAATATTTTAGTAAAATGTTGAAAATATGGTGAAAGAGTGGACCTATAGTCTCCATCTTCAAAATTTATTTCAAAATGGAAGAAAATTTTCAATGAGACAAGTTTAGTGTGAACCAGGCAGTCGGACGGACATTTATAAATCAAATTAAATTTTTTGAAACGGAAATGCTTTTTGGATTGTGAAAATATTTTTACGGAAAATATTCGATAAATATAACCATACAACCTCATTTGAAATATTTGTAATAGTAATTTGGCATTCCGGATTTTTGTTGGGTGAAAAATTGTAATATAAAGCGATGAACCAATTCCAGCTTGTTGTAGACCCTATTTAAATTTTGCAACCAGACTGAGGGATAAAAGTCCTCATTGAGGACAATACGCAGGGTTGATTTATCTTTTGATACAGATCCTATACAGAAGTCCCGCTTAATTTTAGGAAACTGAAATGCGAATTTTTTTGGTGAAGGGTATTGCTAAGTTCAACCCGACCGCACCGAAAATTTGTCTGTTCCATATTTTGACAGAGTTCACATACAAGGGTTTTTTATTTGGTATGCGAAATGTTTAAGGTGAAGGGTATATAAATGTCGGCCCGGCTAATTTTGTAAGAAAAGCTATTTTTATCCAAAAACCTCATCCAAAGTCGTGAGAGAATATCTTGGATATACAAAATGTCAATGAATGCAGAACGGGACATTGTTGTCATTTCTTTTGCAACATATCGTAAAATTTTCGAATCAGCATAGAGCTCTATGTAGATTTAGCCATATCCGTACTTAAGATTTGATTTGGGATGTGTGGCATTTTCCCTCCTGATTTGTACTATTTTTAAGTTTATTGTCACATTATCTATCCGAAGTGGCAATAATTTGGCATTTCGGTTTATATAAGGGTGAGAAACTTCTTTGGCCCTGTGTTAACATTCCCTCATATAAAGGACTCTCTGTATTTTGAGCCGTATTTTCCAAACGAAGTGGGGGTAATTAGAATTCAGGTTTCTTGGAGCGTGAGATGTAACGTTTTACGTTTTTGTTTGATATATCCATGAATTGGCATATTTTACCCCATGTTTGGTGTTTTGGAAAATAACAACTTTCTTGAATGCATATCAGGCGTATGGTCTAAAGCCATTACTTTAATATAACACATTGTAGTCCATGTCAGTGTTTTATATGATATGTAATAATTTTGAAAATATCTTTTACTTCTACAATAATAAAGGTTTCTTACTTTTCGACATAATTTCCAAATTGACTTCAACTGCCCTCCGATTTGGAATGCAATAATTTTACAACATTACTGCAGCTGACCCTATGATAATTTTATATTTATTACAATATATTTTTATTCAATTTTGTAATTGTTGAATAGTTTCCCATTAACAATATGCACAATTCATATTGCATATTGTGAGACATACACATACTTTCAATTATTCACCTCAAAATAGTACGGTAATTGAAATATTACATGGTGTTATTGCATGCTTCATTATTTTACCTTTGATATAATTTTGTATAAAAGTTGATCAAAAAATCCATATTGCCGTCATTAACATTTGGTGTTTACGCCTTTAAAGAACTTCAACAGTATTCAGAGATTTATCTACCACAAAAACATGGCCTTTAAGGTAAGCGAATGAGTGGCTGGTGATCTTACTGACCACTTTTTGTCAAGTCATTCAAACAAAGATTTTAATATTTAATTGGCTTTGTATTTTCAGTTCATTTTTGCCCTTGCTTTTGTCGCCGTTGCCAGTGCAGGTTATGCTCCAGTTACCTATCACACTGCTGCCGCTGCTCCCGTGGCAGTAGCTCAAAAAGTTTTAGTCAAATCGGAAGATTTTGATCCTCATCCTCAGTACAAATTCAGTTATGGTGTTGACGATAAATTAACCGGTGACTCCAAGAATCAAAACGAGGAACGTGATGGTGATGCTGTACGTGGTGAATACTCTTTGATTGATGCTGATGGTTACAAACGTACTGTCAGTTATACAGCCGATGATGCTAATGGTTTCAATGCTGTCGTTCAACGTGAACCTTTGGGTCATGCTGTAGTGAAGACTGTAGCTCCCGTTGCCCACTATGCTGCTCCAGCTGCAGTTGTTAAACATGTTGCTCCTGTGGCTCATTATGCTGCTCCAGTGGCTCACTATGCCGCTGCTCCAGCTACTGTTGTCAAACATGTTGCTCCCGTGGCTCATTATGCTGCTCCAGCTGCTGTTGCTAAGACTGTGGCTCCCGTTGCTCACTATGCTGCTCCCACTCATTATGCATCTTATGAAACTCCCACCTACGAATACCATCATTAAGTGTCAATGTTGTTGTTAATCATTTGTTAAATACTGTTATTTTATTTAACGTTGTACATATATGTTTATAGCTAAATTAATAATAGCAAAAATATACATCAACCTTTTTTGTGATAAAAATATTTGATTTTATATACATTAGAATATGTAAAATTTAGGTTTTAATAGAACCCGCAATGCCAATTTACAACCACATTGGTGAGCATATCCGGCAAAAATATAAAGTAATTAAGAATGTCCAAAACTGGTCTTATATCGACATTTATCTGAAAATATATTTTCCATCCAAAATGAGGCAGGATTGGCAAATTACAACCACTTAAGGGAACCCAACCTTCGCGATTTTTCATTTTTAAATTTTAAATGGGCTGGTAAATAAATACCAATACTTTTTAAGGCTTGTAACTTTGCATATATATATATTTGAAGATCTAAAAAGGAAGAAAAATATTTAACAACAAATTTTTGTTGTTGTTTTTTGTGATCAAAGAAAAGTCCTTATTTTTGATGGCGGGCATGATAACTCCTCACTGGAACATTGGAATTCGAAAATTCCAACGGTGTTAGAAAGAGTAAATGTCTGGCTCTCGTATGAACTAGGATTATTGACTTCGCGCAACAATTAACAAAATGGCGGAACTTTGAAAAAAATGTTGGATAATCGCCTATTTTTGACTACAAACTAAGTTAAAAAATAAGGAAGATCTTCACCGATTGGCTTTACGAGAGCTACACACTTCCAGAGAAACGTGTCAAAATTTGGAACCGGAATGACACCTTCCAAATACCGTAGTTGGGTGATACTTTTATGCCGGAGTAAAGCCAAAACATAGACTTATATTGATTTATATTTTTTGTCAGCCTCCAAGAACATAGAATGACACATTACATGTAATATGACCTAATACCGAAATATGGGGCTATATCAAAATATGAATGCCAAATTACATCCAATTGTGGGAAAAGTGTAGTTAAGAAAGGTAAAATACAGAATTTGGCATAGACCCAAAAATTCCAAAGATCTATCTTAAATCTTGTGATCTCTATTTTAATTTCAACAGAAGATCGCTAAAACGACATAAATTGTTATTCTGATCATGAATTTATGGCATTTTCGAAGTGTTGCAAACGGAATGGCAAATTATGGTGGAGTATATAAAAATATGATTTATTATACCCTATTATAAGTTTATGTGGCCCCAAGAGTAATGCCACGAAACATTGACCTAGATCCAGCGATCGTAATATCTCGACTAGTTGAGTCGATAAAGACATGCACGTCGTTTTGTCTGTCCATTATAATTTATAAACAAAGTACAAGCCACAGTTATACTCCACAAAACAAAATGTAGATTCGGTTCTGGCCATTGTTTTTGGACCAACAATTTTATATTTGTCTGTTTTTTCAAGTCGCTCTAGAAACCGCAGTTATGATCCAAAAATAAATTTTTAGACTCTACGAATAAATATGGCTGTTATTATGATAATCTGTGTATATTTAGCGGGTTAATCGGATCTAGACTTTTCTGAAAAATGTACATTCTATGGCGTATATAACCTCCAGATGTAGACCGGACAATTTGACTGAAACCACTAAATTGATATAGTTTCTTATTCCACAATAGATGACGCAAATGCCTCCCAGATCGCTATGAACTTTTTCATATAGTTCCGGATATGGCCAAGGGATAAATCTTCATTTTCGTTCGACTATGAAGGTCGGTCTAAAGCAGGCACGGGCAGAGCTTAACAAATTCTGTTCTCACGCATTGTCTTTGTGTGTGTGTCAATGGTTTTTCAATTGGTTCAGTTGAATGTGTGTGAGAGAATAGTGATACTTACCCTCGCGAGAGTGCACGCGTGCGGTGCTTCGCCCGACTGTGGTCTAAAGGTCATATTAATAATCCAACCATCACGAAATTCTACACAATGAAGAGGATCTGGTCAAATAATGGAGCGGATAAAATGGATCAACACTTCTTCCTTTAAAATGACAAAATTTGCATCTTATGGCGTAAAGGTGCAGTCCGGGAAAACATGATTGATAATTCATAGCCAGCATAAGAAATAGAAACTTTTACCCTAATATGAATTACATTGATGTATGAGGTCGGATATGATAGAAATACTAAAATTATTTAGAGGTACATATTATAGTATTGTCTAGTAAAAGGCAATTATACCTTACACAACTATCTTGTAAGACTATTACAGCTATTGGGCCTAGACCCACCTTGTAGTATACCGATTACCATACCTATTATATATTATAATTAGTAAACACGGTACAGGCCAAAGTTATGGACCACACAATTTTGTAAGCAGGACGTGTTCTGACTAAAGAAGACCCTTATTGGTAACGATCGGTTAATATTAATGGAATCAAATAGATCAAAAAATGTATTTTTGTCAGTTTTTTTCCTTTTAACCCCATAGGTGCCTTAATTACACTGTGCTACAAAATAAAAAAAAATCAGGGGTTCTAATGTACAAATTCTGTTTACTCCAATACTCCGCTACATATTTATCGATCTTCTACATTCATGTTAAATCTTTGTGTGGTTAATAACACTGTGCGACACCAACATTTTTCAGGGGTTCTAATGCACCAATTCTGTTTAGTTGGAGTCCCTGGACCACGAAAATACCTTTGGTTTTTCTGGGTCACTTCGAAAATTAATTTTATAACTGTAAATATAGAGAAAAACGTGGTTTCATGGATTTTCAATTTCAAACTCGAATAACTTATTTACTTTTTAACAGATTTATATTATTCTTTCTTTTCTTTCGAAGAGTACAATTTTTCCTTTCAAACAAGATATATAATTGGTAAATCGGTTGAGGATTGGATGAGCTACAGCGGTTGAAATGTAAAAAAGTATGCATAAAATGAAAAAAAAAAAAATATTTTTCTTCTGACTGTGCGATGAAATTATGATATCAAGCCATAAAAGTTTTATTATATTACGGGGAAGAAAATTAAATTAGCTTTCAAAAATGATAAAAATCAAAAAAAATCGGTTAAAAAATGGATGACTTATGCACATTTTTGTATTGATTCTATGCATATTCTCTAAAGGAAATATGGGTCTGTATCGTTTCCTGTTACAAACCGTTATGTTTGCAACAGGCAGAAGGAAACCAGATAGAGCCATAGTTTCTTTAGAGAATATGCATAGAATCAATAGAAAAATGTGAATAAGTCATCCATTTTTTTAACAGATTTTGATTTTTATCATTTTCGAAAGCTTATTTAATTTTCTTCCCCGTAATATAATAAAACTTATATGGCTTGATATCATAATTTCATCGCACGGTCAGAAGAAAAATAAATGTTGTCATTTTATGCGTACTTTTTCACATTTCAACCTCTGTAGCTCATCCAATCCTCAACCGATTTACTATATATATCATGTTTGAAAGGAACAATTTTACTCTTCGAAAGTAAAAAAGAATAATATAAATCCGTTATAAAGTAAATAAGTTATTCAAGTTTCAAATAGAAAATCCATGAAACCACGTTTTTCTCTATATTTACCGTTATAAAATTAATTTTCGAAGTGACCCAGAAAAACCAAAGGTATTTTCGTGGTCCAGGGACTCCAACTAAACAGAATTGGTACATTAGAACCCCTGAAAAATGTTGGTGTCGCACAGTGTTATTAACCTAACACAAAGATTTAACATGAATGTAGAAGATCGATAAATATGTAGCGGAGTATTGGAGTATGTCCTTGGATGTGGGAGATATACGTAAATACTTACAGGTGTATACAGACGGAAATGTAGAGCTAATGGCTAAGAAATTTTGCTCAAGGTTTCGATTATGGTCAAGGGAAATGCGTATAATAGTCTATGATGATCTGATGATATTTCGGGATGAAATGGACGAAAACCTTATTTTTGTCAGGTTTTCTAGTCGCTCTAGACGCCACAATTACCAACCGAATATTCCGCGGGGCTGTTTTGATAGGGATGTTTTGATTGGTCAATATTCATCGGGTCAAATCAACTAAGACTTTTTTGTGTAAAACAAAATTTGGAAAATATGCCAGAGTAAGAAATTTCGCGAATTATTGGCCAAGCTCGAAATATAGATCAGCAGAAAGATAGAGTTCCGTATTAATTTTGTAGAATATCATATGATCGGCCCGTCCGACTATATTACTCCCCTTACTGTTGTTTGTAGCTATAATTTTTTGGCAACACTGGTTTTGGACTAAGCAGATGGACAATAAATGGTGTAGACCCTTTTAGGAATCATGCAATTCTCTGAATGTTATAGGGTTTTGTTTGTTGGAGTCAAAATTTGTCAAAATCTTGTATTAGCTTATAGAATATCCGATTTGTGTTTTTTACAACCCCCTATCAAAGGTTCCGACCGATTTTGAGTATTTTGAATTTTCACCTTATGGTGAAGTGCATAACGGTTCGGCAGTATATTATTACTATCTATAATTAAAAATCTTAAGTTTTTTTTAACAAATATTTTATTAACAATTTTAAAAACTAAATCAACAATTTTTTCTAACGAATCGTTCAGTCATCACAATCGAAGTTCTCTCAAAAATGGTATTTAATGATGGTGGTGAGCAGGTACAGAGTAGGTGGTGTAAGCTGGAGCAACAGTCTTTACGACAGCTGGAGCTGAGTAGGTGGTGTAGGCGGGGGCAACAGTCTTAACAACAGCAGCAGGAGCAGCATAGTGGGCAACTGGAGCGACATGTTTGACAACAGCGGCGGGAGCAGCATAGTGGGCAACTGGAGCAACAGTTTTCACCACAGCTGGGGCAGCAGCAACAACAGTCTTAGTCAAAGGTTCACGATGGACGACAGCATTGAAACCATTGACATCATCAGCAGTGTATTGTACGGTACGTTTGAAACCATCAGCATCGATCAATGAGTATTCACCACGTACCACATCACCATCACGTTCCTCAACCTGGCTCTTGGAATCACCAGAAACGGCATCTTGTACATCATAACCGTATTTGTATTGAGGATGAGGATCAAATTCATCATCAGCCTTGGCCAAAACTTGGTGGGCAGCCACATGTACGGGAGCTACAGTTTTGACAACGGCAGCTGGGGCAGCATGATATACCTGGGCGGCAGGTACAATACCAGCACTGGCTGCGGCGAGCAAAGCAAAGAAAGCTACAAACTGCAAGAAAGAAACCAAAAAAAGATATTTTTAATCTCACATTATCCTCGCAAAAAAGGGCTTTATCCGCTAACCATACCTTGAATGCCATTTTGATTGAGTTTCAAAAAACAAACAGTGAGACTGAATTCGAACTTTGGGTTGTGTGTTAACGCTTAAACGTGTAACTGTTGTATGCTGTCAAAAATTGATTTCGTCGTTGTTTTTATAGTCGAATTTTGTGTTACACATTTTTGTTGCCTTTTTAATGTTTATTGACCGACCATTAAAAGGTTAGCCCAGCATTGATCTGAACAGGTTTCTGATACACAACAATAGCAACAAGTGTAGCACATAAACAATAACTTTATGTCTGTCCATATGTACCGTTTGTTAATTCATTTATCTCGGTACTCGCAATGCAATTGTTATTTCTTCAATAGAAAAAAAATAAACAAAATAAATCGAATCACGCACACATAAACAATTTATCTTCTTGTGGTTAATAATTAATGTGTTAAAGGAGAGACCCTTCCGGGGGCTAATTAAAGATACATAATTATTGAAAATGTTTAGCCCAGCATCGAGTCTTGTTTCTGACGAAATTTATTATGCCGGGTTATGCATGTTTTATGCTGTGTAATGAAATTCTAAACTTTTTTCGACCTTGAACAATTTCTCAAAATATAAATGACATTTTGAAAATTGTGTGTCATACATGACCTTAGTCAATGTTAGAAGTCATAATTTGTTAGAGTTTTTACATTATATTCTCAGAATAATACTTATGACCCACATAAATATTATGTGTGTTAACTGTGGGCTTTTAACAATATATTGAACGTGGATCGTCTAAAGTTTAAAGAGGTTTACACTGTAAACACTTCGTAGAAAAACGAATGGTTCAATTCTATTCGGCAAATGATATTTGGCGATTCTTATAATCGATATTCGTTGTCGTGCCACTGGGACATACTTTGTGCGTCTTTCTTTGTATTTATATAAAATTGAACGAATATACCCTGGTGACCATATGTACACTGGAGCGTTATACAACCAGTAAGGAAAATGGTAAAGTCGGACGGTGCCGACTCAAGAGATGCATTCTAATAGGCCTTGCATTTTTGAAGGACCATTGGCATGAATTTGGACTAATTTAAATATGTGATCTGTGTCTATATGTGAACCGACTTAACCCTACGATCAAAAACCGGGTACATTGGTACCTTTTTATACCCTCCACCATAGTATGGAGGGTATATTAAGTTTCTATTTCCTTCTATAACTCATCGAAATAATAATTTCCGACCCTATAAAGTATAGATAATCTTGATTCTATGACGATGACTGTCTGTTGTAATCACTCTAGCCTCAAAAAACAATTGAGATAGAACCACATATAACGGTACCCTCAATTTTCGAAATTTTAGGGTTCTTGAGGGTATTTTTCAACCGATTTCCCCGAAATTTGGTACAAAGGCTTCTAATTGGCTACATTAATTCACGCACATGTCCTCGGCAGATTTAGACTTTAGAACGTTGTGAACTTTTTTGGTGTCAATCGAACAAACATAAAGAGGTTGGTGCACCATTCACCTAAAATCGGACGAAAATATATATGGGAGCTATATCTAAATCTGAACCAATTTCATCCAAACTTACCAGACGTTATTGTAGACCCATTTCGATAAGTTGCGCATGATGTTGTGTCAACCGGAAACATATTACATCGCTGGTATACTATTTACTTAAAATTGGGTGAAAATATAAATGGGACCTATATATAAATTTAAGGGACCCCCCCACCTTGCTCGATTTTTCATTTTTAAGATTTTAAATGGGCTGGTAAATGAATACCAATGTTTCTTAAGGTTGGTAAGTTTGCACATATATATTTGAAGATTTAAAAAGGAAGAAAAATAATTTTCCAATATTTTTTGTTGTTGTTTTTTGTGTTCAAAGAAAAATCAAATTTTCGATGGCGGGCACAATAACTCCTCACTGGAACATCGGAATCCGAAAATTCCAACGGTGTTAGAAAGAGTACATGTCTGGCTTTCGACTCTCTAGGATTATTGACTTCGCTCTAAAATTAACAAAATGGCGGACCTTTGAAAAAATATTTTTGGAAAATCGCAGATTTTGGACCAAAAACCAAAATAAGGAAGATCTTCACCGATTGACTTTATCCTAGTTCATACGATAGCTATACACTCTTGGAATCGATTGGGTTATTAGTTTTTGAGTTATCGTGCCCGCCATTCGCAAAAGGGAAAACGCGTTTAAAGTTTGAGAAGCCCTTTAGCCGTCACTTGATGCTGGCACAATAAATCGGCTATATCTTCATTTTCACTTGAAATTTTGTAAGGACATTCTTGAATAAATGTAGTTTCGAATTAAATCAAAAAATGTTTGACACCTAGAAAGGGGGTCCCCTTAAACCGATTTCAATAAGACTTGACACACGTTAGGCTATAATAGCGCTGTGCAAAAATGTTGTGCCATCCGGCATTGGCTCTTTGGTGCAAAATTTACCAAAAATCGGACGAAAATACATATGGGAGCTATATTTAAATCTGAAGCGATTTCAACTTCAATACTTTCGTGGCAATCGGCCTAAATTTCACTCGTTGGTACACAATTTAATAAAAATCGGACGAAAATATATATGTGAGCTATATCAAAATCTGAAGTGGTTTTGCCAAATTTCACGAGCGTTGGTGTAAATAAATGATTTGTGCCAAATTTCATATCCCTCGGATAATAAAAGCGAACTGCGATTGGTTTACAATTTAACATGGACAGACATTCATAAATCGACTCAGAAAGTGATTCCATGTACATTCTCAAAAGGAACAATGAGTCCACCTCGTTTCCGTTTACCTGTTGCAGAAAAAATACACAAAGACATAATACCCTGTACTATAGAGTGCTAAAGGGTATAATAAATAATAATTTATGGAATTGTCTCAATTTTTGCTTTGACAAACAGATGGGCTCCAAAATTTTAGTTATCTTTACCATTATAAAACATGTCAAAGATTGGTTGCGGGAGTCAAAAATCTGGGTTTTATAATGACCAACACAATCATCAGATCTTCACCTTATAGAAAAATCTTTGAAGTGTCATAGATAGCAAAATCAAAAGAGTTTCAGAAACAAACAGACATAACCTCTTCCCAAAGGTTCAGGATGCACGGAATAGTGTACTCAAGGATCAAATTGAACATTTTACAACAAAGTTGTGCTGCCGTCATGCCATGCAAAAATTGGGTCAAATTAGTTTTCCATAGAATAATATTTTTCAAAATATATGTTGTTATTTTTTTAAATGAATAAATTACCATTATTTCTGAAAAAACTTTCACTATAGCTTTATTTTCAAAGATACAGGTCATATATTCAGTTTGCAATTTCAGTTGATTTAGTTTTGGCCACCAGTGTATGTGTGTCCGTCCATTATAATATGTAAACACGATACAGGCCACATTTATGGACCAATCGTCACGGTAGTTTGCATGTGCGAAAGGTTTTGGCTAATATTTAGGGGATGACATGGACCAAAAACGTTATTTTTGTCTGTTTTTTCTTGTCGCTCTAGAGGCCACAATTATGACCCGAACATCACGAAATTTTCTGACCATAGAAGTTTGACGGTTTCCATGCAGATTGGTCAAAATTTAGCGGGTCACATTGACCCAGTCTTTTGTATGAAAAATGACAAAATTTTGTATTCAATGGCGTATATATATGGTTAAGGACGTCGCCTATAATTTTCGACGATGATCGGATGATATTTCGTTATTTTAATCTGGATTTTAGTCGCTCAAGAGAACATAACACTGTGCGACACGAAAATTTTTCAATGGTTCTAATGTACCAAATATGTTTAGTTGGAGTCCCTGGACCACGAAAATACCTTTGGTTTTTCTGGGTCACTTCGAAAATTTATTTTATAACGGTAAATATAGAGAAAAACGTGGTTTCATGGATTTTCAATTTAAAACTTGAATAACTTATTTACTTTTTAACAGATTTATATTATTCTTTTTTTTCTTTCGAAGAGTACAATTTTTCCTTTCAAACAAGATATATACTTGGTAAATCGGTTGAGGATTGGCTGAGTTACAGCGGTTGAAATGTGAAAAAATACGTATAAAATGACAAAATTTACCTTTCTTCGGGCTGTACGATGAAATTATGATATCAAGCCATATAAGTTTTATTCTATTACGGGGAAGAAAATTAAATTAGCTTTCGAAAATGATAAAAATCAAAAAAATCGGTTAAAAAATGTATGATTTATACACATTTTTGTATTGATTCTATGCATATTCTCTAAAGGAACTATGGGTCTATCTCGTTTCCTTTTGCCTGTTGCAAACATAACGGTTTATAACAGGAAAAGATACAGACCCATATTTCCTTTAGAGAATATGCATAGAATCAATACAAAAATGTGTATAAGTCATCCATTTTTTAACCGATTTTTCTGATTTTTATCATCTTCGAAAGCTAATTTAATTTTCTTCCCCGTAATGCAATAAAACTTATATGGCTTGATGCCATAATTTCATCGTACAGCCCGAAGAAAAGTAAATTTTGTCATTTTATACGTTTTTTTTTCACATTGCAACCGCTGTAACTCAGCCAATCCTCAACCGATTTACCAAGTATATATCTTGTTTGAAAGGAAAAATTGTACTCATCGAAAGAAAAGAAAGAATAATATAAATCTGTTAAAAAGTAAATAAGTTATTCGAGTTTTAAATTGAAAATCCATGAAACCACGTTTTTCTCTATATTTACCGTTATAAAATAAATTTTCGAAGTGACCCAGAAAAACCAAAGGTATTTTCGTGGTCCAGAGACTCCAAATAAACAGAATTGTTACATTAGAACCCCTGAAAAAAATTTTTGTTATTTTGTAGCGCAGTGTAATTATAAGAAGGACATTACAAATTTTACATGGATAAGATGATGTGACCAACTAATACAATTGGCTGTTGGAAACTTCGGGAAACATGACTCAGAAAAAAGTCGTCGAAGTCGTATAAATCCGCGAAAACTTAGAGTGGCAGTCAGTATTGCCAAAACTTTGTTTTTAAACAATGCTAGATATTGTTTAAAAAATGGTACAAAATGCAAAAAAGTTAAAAAATATACCAAATAAATGTGCTATAAATATTTTAGAACGAAATTGTTGGTATATGTTCTTCATTCAATATTTTAAAGCTTTTGGGCAGGTTTTTCAACCTAATTTGAATTTGAATTTTGTGATCTCCCTGAGTAGAAAATCTTTATTTTACATATTACCAATTTTAGTCCATTTTTAGGATAGAACGATTTACAACCAAATTATGTAAAATTTGATATTTTGGATTATCATTGTAAAAAAAATCAACCTACCAAATAATTCGGGGTAGGTCCCATAATGCGGTGCCTCCATTATTCGGCCCGAGTTTCAACTAAAGTGACTCCAATTTAATATTATGAATTCTTCGTCGGACAATCTAATTGGCTGTCATTTGATACTTTTGATTATAATGCGGTATCAAATCTTCCCACAAAAATATTAATACTGGTCTACGTTCTATCATATAACGGTACCACCCCATTTTCGGTACTTCATAACTTCCCATTGCACATAGCCCTCATATTAAACATACGATAGATTCTTTCCAGAAATTTTCCAATTAAATGATTTTAATATCGCTCCCATACAAAGACAACTCTTAATTTGGTTTTTCATTTACCCAAATAAACAATGCCATATAGTCACCAAACGAAGCACCCGACTATTTTCTTAAGGAAATGTTAACTTTTTCAACATTGGAAATTCAAAATCATAGCGTGAAACGTAGAGAAATTTTAATGTGCAAATGTCAAATCTTAAAACGACAAATTTGTTTGAGATAAAACAAAAATACTGAAAATTTTTAATAATTTCTGAAAGAAATAAAAATGGTAAAAAAGGTGCTAGGTGCTAGATCAATTTTTTGGTGCTAAACGAGTTTAAAAAATGCTAAATCTAGCTCTAAAAGTGCTAAATTGGCAACACTGGTGGTAGTTGTGTAGGGCATCATATGGTCGACCCCGTCCCTATTTTTTTCAGAGCATAAACAATACTGCTAAATAATGGGATAACATAGATCCCATATAAAGGCCACGACCGATTTAAGGAATTTTTAATGCACACCATTAAAAAATTCTGTTGTCACAAAACCTCAACGACATCACGTAATCACATTTTCCAAACCCCCTTAAACCTTTCCAATGAAACTAAGCAGTTTTCTATGGATTTTAAAAGAAATTGTTTATTTGTTTAATACTACAGAAATTACAATAACAAAAAAAGCTTTCAGCCACATTATGATAAACAAAAAATGACATTTAATGGTGATGGGAGGAATAGGTGGTGGTATAGGCTGGAGCTGAGTAATGGGTATAAGCTGGTGCAGCATAATGAGCAACTGGAGCAACAGTCTTAACAACAGCAGCAGGAGCAGCAGCTACAACAGTCTTGACCAAAGGTTCACGGTGAACAACGGCGTTGAAACCATTGACATCATCAGCGGTGTATTTGACAGTGCGTTTGAAACCATCAGCATCAATCAGTGAGTATTCACCACGTACTACATCACCATCACGTTCTTCAACTTGGCTCTTCGAATCACCCGATACGGTATCCTTAACATCGTAACCATATTTGTATTGAGGATGAGGATCGAATTCATCATCAACTTTGGCGTAAATGGGTTGTACTTCGGATACAGTTTTAAGCACAGTAGCCGGGGCAGTGTGATAAACATGAGTGGCGGGAGCAATACCGGCACTGGCGACGGCCAATAGAGCGAACAGAGATACAAACTGAAAATTCAAAACAAAACAAATTAATTACTGGTTAATTGTTTTTCTTCCTCTTTTTCGGGTTCTTGTAAAGTTTTGTTACTCTTCAGTTCGACGGAACTTACTTTAAATGCCATTTTAGTTGAGCGATTTGTGTTATGTGACCTGGTTGGTGTTGATTATTTGAGATTAACTTGTGTTATGATGCCTACCAGTAGATTCCATGCTGCTTTTATTCATCTCGGTTACAAGACACCGCTCATTACGAGAAATCTTGTAAGGTCGGTGGGTAATAATAACAATTACTACTTGTAACTATAATTATATTTTTTGGTAGTAGTAGTTTGACCAATAAAAAAGTGTGTAAAAAGAATATTACTTAAGCGATGTAATAAACAATTTAAGTATAACGACTAAAACAAAGTACTAATTCTACGCATTTACAACCATTTCAATCCTGAAATGGATTTTTTTTTTGTTTTCCAGTATGATTTATGGAATCATTATTCGAGTTTATACATTTTTTCTGTCGTTGCTAAATGAAGAAATTATTTGTAGGGAATTTGAATATAGGAATTCGCCTTAAATCAGATACATCCGGGAAGATAAGGAAGAACTGATCTCATATCAAATATGATTTTGTACCAACTTCCCGATAGATGGGAAATTTACCAATGTTGATTATATACCGGATTTCGTACCGCAAATGTAAGACTTTGGTGAGTATATGAAAAGCCCAGAAATAAAATTTTGCCATATGTCAAAGTTCAGAGATAAGACTTGATAATTCTTTTGCCGGCGATCCTATTGTAGATGGACATATAGTTTCATATCTTGATTTATAGCTATTATATGTATTTTTATAACCTACACATCTATGTTTTCAGTATATTATAGCTTTGTGTAGCCCCAAGTGTTTGTGAAGCCGCGAAATATTGATCCTAGATCCACATTTAAGTATACCGATGGTCATATCTCGACTAGCTGAGTCGATCTAGAGACAGTTGTGGGCCAATCGTCACGAAATCGTGCATATAGATGAGCTCTGGCCAAAGAAGACCCCTGTTGTTTTTGGTAATGATCGGTTAATATTTAGGGAATGAATTGAACCCAGAACGTTATTTTTGTCTGTGGTACAGGGTATTATGCTTCCTTTTGAGAATATGAATATAATCACTTTCCGAGTCGATATATGTATGTCCGTCCGTCTATCTGTCTGTCCATGTTAAATTGTTAACAAAATACAGGTCGCATTTATGATCCGATTTGGATGAAATTTGGCCCAGGTCACTTAATTGGCCCAAGAACGAACCCTATTGGAATTGGGAAAAATCGGTTCAGATTAGATATATATGGGAGCTAATATATATTTTCGTCCGATTTAATGTAAATGGTGTACCAAAGTCCCTATATATCTTCCGTTTGGCACGAAATTTGGCAAAGCGCACTGAATTGAGTCTAGAATAATGTGTGTAAAATTTCTTGAAAATCGGTTTTGCCCAAGAACGAACCCTATTGAAATTGGGAAAATCGGTTCAGATTAGATATATATGGGAGCTAATATATATTTTCGTCCGATTTAATGTAAATGGTGTACCAAAGTCCCTATATATCTTCCGATTTGCACGAAATTTGACATAGCGCACTGAATTGAGTCTAGAATAATGTGTGTAAAATTTCTTGAAAATCGGTTCATATTTAGATATAGCTCCCATATATATGTTCGACCGATTTAATGTAAATGGTTCACCACAGTCCCTATATATCTTTCGATTTCCACGAAATTTGACGTAGCATACTGACTTGAGTCCAGAATGATGTGTGTAAAGTTTCCTGAAAATTGTCCAATTTTAAGACACAAAGTTAGGCAGATTGCCACACAATTTTGCACAACGTACTAATGTTTGTGTAACATAACATGTGGCAAATTGTGCTACATCAGTTCGGATTTAGATATAGCTTCCATATATATTTTCTTCCGATTTTAAATAAATGGTGCACCATAGACACAAAGTTAGGCCGATTGACACAAAACTTTGGACAACGTACTTAAGATAGTTGGAATCTGTCCAGATTTACATATAGCTCCCATATAGTTTCGTTTTTTTAGTAGGACCCAATGACCTAAAATATGTTCATTAGGAACAAAACGTGAATGAATTAGTCTAACCTAACCTGTGACAAGTTTCGTTGAAATCGGTTCATATTGGATATATCTTCCATATCTATTTTCATCCGATTTTAAGTAATCGGTACACCAAACTCGTCATGTTTTTTCAGAGTAGAATGACGTTATTGCGTGTAGAAGTACAGATGTAGCCCATATATATTTTCTCCGACTTCGTGTTTATTGGGATCCAAATATTCAAGAGGGTGCCTGATTGAAATTTGCTTTAAATCGATTTACATACTTTTGTCCTATTGTAACAAACGAGTAACATGTTTATGAATTGATCTAAGTCGGTTCACATTTAAATAAAGGTCATATATTTTTGTTCATTCAATTTCATGTTAATGGCCTTTTTAATATACCCATAGTGGTGAAGGATTTCTTATAGTCGGCCCCGTCCGACTTTACTACTTTCCTTACTGATCGCTCTAGAGACCATAAATATGATCCGAACACCACGAAATTTTACACCAAGAAGGAAATCAGGCCAAAGGATTGACACGACTGTTTTAATGAAGATCGATCAATATTTAGCCGGTCAAATGTAACCAGACTTTTGTGTACAAAATTGCAAATTTTTTATTCTGGGCGTATATATTTACTCCTGAAGGACATAGACCCGATAAGTTGATAGTATATCCAATAGGATGTGTAGATCTTTAAATTGATACCAACTATATTAATGAATGTACTTTCAGTTTTTCTTTTTCTCCATTTCGACTCTTTGGTAGGGTCATAATATGTATGTTGTCAGATTTTATTCGAAACCTAGATCAAGTCCGAAGATTGGAAAATTCGGTAAACAGCCTTAGGTAATAGGGTTACTGGATAGTCCTCAAACAATAAGCCCATTGCAATTAGTCTTAAAACCAAGTCGACAAATGGTCGTTGAACCCAATTTTCCTATTTGTATATATATCGACGTCTAGAGTAATTCAATGCCTTAGACTTAAGTTAAAAATTAATACCTAAATGCAAACTTTTAATTAATCCTTGCAAAGCCACCCCAGGCTATATTTCACATCAACCAATATCTATCTGATTACAGAAGAAAAAAACCCACAATGAAATAAAAATTTCACAAGCACTATTTACAGCACCACAATAATTGATCTCATTGCTCATTACCATTCCCCGCTTAAGGAGAATAATTCTCTTAATTACCAAAGACTTATGTTCGATTCAATGTCAATTTGACTTTATATTTTATTTTTTTGGCCAACAGCAACAACAAACACACACTGTTGGAGTTGTAAACCATACAACTGTGGCTGTAAGCTTGTCACATAAAAACCCAGCGAACTTTTGGCTCAAACATCAGTCAACAACTTTATCTTCAACTAATAACGCACGCACCTTAACCGGTCAACAAAACAAAAACACCCAGCACCACAAAATGGCATTCAAAGTAAGTTAAACCGAAAAAAATAGGTTTCAAAGCAAATTTAAAAAAGCGAGTGTTACAATTAACCTCTGTCTACTTACAGTTCGTATCTTTGTTCGCTTTGCTCGCTGTAGCCAGTGCTGGGATTGTACCAGCTGCCCAGGTCTATCATGCTGCCCCCGCTGCTGTGGTAAAAACTGTTGCTCCAGCAGTTCATGTCCATGCCCAGCCAGTGTTGGCTAAAGCTGATGATGAATACGATCCTCATCCCCAGTACAAATACGGTTATGATGTTAAAGATGCCGTCTCTGGTGATACGAAAAGCCAAGTTGAGGAACGTGATGGTGATGTTGTACGTGGTGAATACTCTTTGATTGATGCTGATGGTTTCAAACGTACTGTTCAATATACGGCCGATCCCGTTAACGGTTTCAATGCTGTTGTCAATCGTGAACCATTGGTGGCTAAGGCTGTTGTTGCTGCTCCTGCTGCCGTAGTTAAGACTGTTGCTCCAGTTGCTCACTATGCTGCCCCCGCCGCTGTTGTCAAGACTGTTGCTCCAGTTGCCCACTACACTGCTCCCGCTGCTGTTGTCAAGACTGTTGCTCCAGCTTACACCACTTACTCAGCTCCTGCTGTTGTTAAGACCGTTGCCCCAGCATACACCACCTACTCAGCGCCAGCCACCTATGTTGCCCATCACTAATTTAATGTCATTGTTGTTGTGTAAGAAAAGTTTTCAATTGTAAAATTGAAAACATTTTTATTTGTTTTTTAGAGTTTATTTTTTTAGGAAAATAAATGTAGTTAAAGTTGTTTCTGAAAATCTGTTTTTTAGTATCAATCAACATTTTCTGAAGGCAAAACTATTTTTGGGAAGAACTTTTGGGGTTTGTGCAAAGAGTAACAGTCTTTATATTTTATTATTTGCAAGGGGCTACGTATACGAATATTGTGTTGTATTTAAATTACGACAATATGGAGCGCAAAGTTTACGATTATGATTATGGAAACCACCGGTTTCGGTCGTGATCGGTTCCAGAGACCACAGTTATGACCCTAACGTCAGGAAATTGTACACATATCGGTTAATATTAATTTGGGGAAAAATAACTCCATTATTTTTATTTGAACTATAGGACTTTATTTAACATGCTTCGGAATTTCCGATTTGGGCCAAATATGCACCTATTTGTTTTATGATTTGTTGCCATTTTAAAAACTCTCGTAGTCGATTGTCACAATTCTCCCTAGATACCATTTTTTATCATTAAAGAAATTTTGCAATGCAAGAAAAAATGATAATCGCTTGGTGCCAAGTCCGGACTGTATGGCAGATGCATTGAAACTTCCCAACCAAGCTCTATCTCATTCCGTTTACCTAAGGCTTCGCAGATGAAAATTTGACCGATCCTATTATTCTGTTAATTAGTGTGGCACCCAAACATCGAGCTTCTTTTTGAATCCAGCTTTGCGTAAATGGTTTATGGTCGATTGTTAGCTACTTGGCGATGTTACGACTGCTGACGTGACCCGGAAATTTTGGCCCGGGCTCCTCTCTGGTTTTTATCAACATTATATTTTTTCGAAATTATGGGAAAGTACCAGTGGTGGTGAATTTATATAGGATAGTTGCACTAAATCTATCCTTATAGAATTCTTCGGATTTGATGTAGGTATGCTAAAATTATACTATGTGCAATCAATGGATCAAATCGGTTACTCGGTTACTTACTTCACGTTATGAAATTTAAAAATGTTTAAAATATTAACTCTTTGTGGGGGAAATAGAATAGAGAGAGTGGAAGGCGGAGTCCCAACTTCAGACTTCATTTTTTCAATGTGCAAATTTTGGGACAAATTGAGCGCTCCATCTGCTTGAAATGGGATTGTGGGAAGTACCAGAAGTACCTATCTGTGGATTTGATGTAGGTTTTGTTAAAAATATGCAAAATTTTCCAAACATTAGAATTGATTGGTAAAAACACTAAGAGTAGCATGGCACCATCTGACAATATATCAATTATAGTGCGTTTACATTTAACCGGATTTCGTTAACCCAGTGGGTTTCAATTGTCAATTTCTTTGCATATATGTCAAATAAATCCTCATGAAGTAGGTTAACCCGGTAAAAAGTTCTAATGTATATGCCGTTTTAGAAAATGTTATATTTTTAGCATAATTTTGTATGTAGGGCTATCACTGGGTAGAAAATGTTCCTACTAAAAATTATCAATATTGGTCCATATTTTAGGTTAGCCCCAATATTCGTTATTTTATTAAAATATTGGACAATTTGTTCAAAAGAAATTGTTCCAATTTGATATTAGAAGTTTTTATTGAGCAAAAAATCTCCCTACTAAAAATTATAAATATTGGCCATTTGGTATTTTTGGTTCAGACTGCGTAGTAAAATATTCTTACTAAAAACCAGAGAGCGAAGTAATATACCCAATGGATAATTTGTCATGTTCGGCGTATAATTGTGGCGCCATCGCCTAAATATTAGGTTGGGGAAAAATAAATCCATTATTTTCGGATCGGACTGTCCGATCCATCTCAGCTAGACGAGATATGACGACAGTTTTGTTGTACGATATGTTGCCATTTTAAAGGAATTTCTCGATCATTTCTCCTATTTTATGGACATTTTCGACAACCGGCCTTCTGTGCGAGGTGCACCTTTAACCCTGTAACTCACAACTGAATGCACAAATCAAACCAGTGAGCGGAACAGTATAGTCGGACGGGGCCGACCATACGATACCCTACACAACTACCACGGAACTCAAATTTTCTGCGGATGTTTATTCCGAGCCTCGACAATATTTCGTGATATTTGCACCCTCTTGCCCGATTAGAAGTAAACAGCACCTCTTCCTCACTCTGACATATTTTCCGAATATTACGAGTATTCAGTACAACTATTGTCCAGATTCCCTTCACCGTGGGTTGTGTTGTAATGTTCGGCTTTCATTTGTGGTCTATAGATCGACTCGAAAATAACACAAAAAAATAAGTTTTCGGTCCACTTCATTCCAAAATTATTATCTGATCATCACCGAAAATAATGGGCGTTGTCCTTGACCATAACTAGAACCTCATGGAACATTTCAAAGCGATCAGCGCTGTAGTTCCGCTCTCTAGAGTGATAACGGGTTACTAAATAATATACATATACCGATATACCTGTAAATATTTAGGTGTAACTCCCACATCCGAGCACATACAACAATATAATTGGTCTTACTTTAAAGGTCAACCACTCCTCTTGGATATAACATCAACTTCTCGGGTATATGTCCTTCAGGGGTAAATATATACGCCAAAGAATACACATTTTGTCATTTTTCACACAAAAGTCAGGGTCCATTTGACCCGCTAAATATTGACCGATCTTTATCCAAACAGGCATGCTTATTCTTTGGCCCGATCCGCTTCCCTATGCAAAATTTCACGATGTTCGGGCCATTATTGCGGCCTCTGGAGCGACCAGAAAAACCGACAAAAATAAAGTTTTTGGTCCATTTCCTCACATAAATATTAACCGATCTTTTCCAGAAACGATAGAGGTCTTCATTGGCCAGAACCCATCCTACATGCAAAATTTCGTGAAAATTGGTCCATAACTGTGGCCTGTATCGTGTTTACAAATTATAATGGACAGACGGACGGACGGACACACATGTCTATATCGACTCAGCTAGTCGAGATATGACGATCGGTATACTTAAAGGTGGGTCTAGGACCAATATTTCGCGGCGTTACAAACTTTTGGGGCTGCACAAAGCTATAATACCCTGACAACTTAGTTGTGTAGGGTATAAAAACAGCAAAATAATTATTTTTACTGGAACAACGAACATAAATCTGCAATTGTTTGATCGATACTTTACGAGAAATCTATCAATACAGCCATCTTCCGAAAAAATAATGGATTTCTCTTTCTCGAACCTAATATTAACCGATTACACAGTGACACATTTTTCAACTTTAAAATCTTGAACCAATCGAGACCCCCAAAATCTTGAAGCTTGTGATGGTGGAAGAAAATCCCTAGCTGGGTTTTGCATTATTAGCTAATGTTTTCTTTGAAATTAATTTTTAAAATATTCGACTGGAGGTGGATTTTAACAATTTTCGAATAATATGTACTTATTATTGAGTCTATTTCTCGTGAACTATTCGAAATATTGCTTTTCTCTCTTAAGCAATATTCTTCCTCTTAATTAGATCTAAAATTTTTTTCTTGAGATAAAATCAATAAAACATCACCATCATACTGAAAATAGCACAACTGCAAAATTAAACTAACACAACTAAAATTTAAAATTTCGACATACTTTTTCCATGTTTTTTTTCACACTTATTCTGAAACTGCTACTGACTCGACCAAACAATATATGACAAGAAGATAGCCAATAGCAAATCAAACAACTCTTCTTAAAACCCCGATTTCATTGGTTGACTCCTTCACATAGTTATAGCCTCACAAATTCATCAAGATGAACCAAAGAAATTCACTCCCAATTGTATGTTTACAGAAATAAAAATTGCTATGCTTTTTCAATAAATAAGTACAAAATTAAAGTAAAAATTAAAATGTTTGGCCCTTTAGTTTTTTTCGAAGACATGTCGCAGCGATATATGCACAGGGTAAACGCGGGAACTGGAGGTGCGACCTTAAAGTGGTCAATATTTTGGATGGCCAAAGTATTATTGCTTTCTGTGCCGTTGGGACACACGAGCAAAAGTCGATCACTACTCGCACACTTGGGAAAAACGTATGTCAGGAGTAAAAGATGCCATATTAGACATGACAGCAGAGCCACTAATAAAAACCAGTAAGGAAAGTAGTAAAGTCGGACGGGGCCGACTATATGATACCCTTCACCACTTTGGGTATATTCAACAGATGAACCCTAACAGACATATTGACATATTGTTGCCACCGCTGCATATTACCCTGTGCATATATGGCAGCGACATGTCTTCGAAAAAAACCAAAGGGCCCAAACATTTTAATTTTTACTTTAATTTTGTACCTATTTATTCAAAAAGCATAGCAATTTTTATTTCTATAAACATACAATTGGGAGTGTTTTTTGGTTCATTTTGATGAATTTGTGAGGCTATAACTATGTGAAGGAGTCAACCAATGAAATCGGGGTTTTAAGAAGAGTTGGTCGAGTCAGTAGCAGTTTCTGAAATAAGTGTGAAAAAACATGGAAAAGGTATGTCAAAATTTTAATTTTTTTTGCAGTTGTGCTATTTTCAATATGATGGTGATGTTTTATTGATTTTATCTCAAGAACAAATTTTTAGTTCTAATTAAGAGGAAGAATATTGCTTAAGAGAGAAAAGCAATATTTCGAATAGTTCACGAAATATAGACTCAATAATAAGTACGTATTATTCGAAAATTGTTAAAATCCACCTCCAGTCGAATATTTTAAAAATTAATTTAAAAGAAAACCTTAGCTAATAATGCAAAACCCAGCTAGGGATTTTCTTCCACCATCACAAGCTTCAAGATTTTGGGGGTCTCGATTGGTTCAAGATTTTAGTGCTGCACAGTGTTATTATTATTATCAAAAAATAGGGGTTTTCTTTAGTCAGAACCCATCCTAAATGCAAATTTTCGAAACGATTGGTCCATAACTGTGGTCTATATCGTGTTGACAAATTATAATGAACAGACGGATGGACATACATGTCTACATCGACTCAGCTAGACGAGATATGACGATCGGTATCTAAAAGTTCTAGGACCAATATTTCGGTACGTTACAGCTTGGGGCTACACAAAGCTATAATACCCTGGCAACAAAGTTGTCAAGGCTATATAAAAGTATTGCGATGTGCAATGTTTCGGAGAAATTGGATATTTCCCTTTTGTGGGTGATGTACTAGAAGGAGTGGATAAGTTCCAGCTTCTAAAATTATACAGAAATTGGATCTTCCGTTCACTACATATAATATTTACGATGTGCACATATAAACAAATTTTAAATATTGAAAATGTTGACCATTTGTGGGGGAGGTTACAGAAGGAGTGGTCCCATATTCGGACTTTATTTAGGCTTCGTAAAGATAATAGGTTGTGCAAAATTTTGTTAAAATCGGCGACTGGAATGCCTTATATTGCATTTATAAATATTTAAAATGTTGACCATTTGTGGGGGAGGTACCAGAAGGAGTGCACCAATGGGTCCCATCTTTGGGTTTGATCTAGTCTTGGTGAAGATAATAGGTTGTGAAAAGTTTGGTTCTAATATAAGATTTGTGGGTGAGGTCTCAGAAGATGGGGACCAAGTGGTCACATATTCGGACTTGATCTATTATATTATCTATAAAAAAATAGATTGTTCGCATCGTATTATAAAATTAATTTCTTGTACAATATTGACCATTTTGTGGGGGAGGTACCAGAAGGAATGACCGATATTTTGGAACATCAACTTAGTTTGGAACAAAAATTACGATGTGCCAAGTTTAGATGATCTCCCTTCGATAGTTATCGTGCGCACCAGGCGGGCAGACATTTGTAAATCGAGTCCAAGTTGTCTGAAACGAATTTGATTCAAAGAAACTGGGGTCTAATACCAATATTTCTATGAGACATTTTTTCCAGAATTTGTTCAATAACGGTTAAAGTTTTAAAATGTCCCTATAATTTTCCGTTCCTGCCCTAGTTTTCAAACCTGAGTTTTTGTAATTTAGAACAACCTAATATAGTCCCACATCAATTTCCCGAGCAATTTAAAGAATTTGGAATGCACACCACGTAGTGGTAGGTATAAAAAGTTTGGCCCGCATTTTGCTATTGTAGGTCAGAAATATGTTCAGCAACCCTCGTATATTTTTAAAGACAGTTCCTATGTGCTGTGTGTTACTTTGTTTACTACCCTCGTATAACAATTCCAAGGTACTTGAAACCGGTCGCAACTAATTACTCCATTTAACAATAACGCATGTCCGCCTGACATCAACTTTGAAGGGATTTATTTTTCTCACATAAATCATACGAAATTAATCATCGCCAAAAATAGATTTTTGCATGTACTTTGAGGAATTTCGATAAAAATTTCAACACATACCGACATGTGGCTGTGTGTGACTTTGTTGTTGTATTTTTATTCAATCAGGCGCCTGTCTGCATATTCACTCACAATTGTGGAGCTAATTAATCGACACCATTAACATGAAAAAAACTGTATCAGAAAGAAAAACACTTGACAACGCACTTTACAAATGTTTGCAATGAATTCACAACTAGCCTCGATAATCGCCGGTAATAAAGCCGGCAGCAATTTTATGTGTGCGTGTGTCTTTGCTTGATATTTGATCTACAATTACAAAAAAAGAGACAAAAGCGTTTGCACACACACACACACCCGAACTCACACAAATAACCCTGGCTCGTAAAAGTAACGCTTGCAGGCCATAAACTACCGAAGAGGTAGGTTATCACATAAAAGCCTCTTGAATTCCAATCAAAGATAACACACTTCCACTTCACCTCTAAGAAGCAACACCGACTCGTGGTCACATTTCCAAGCGTAAACAAAATGGCATTCAAAGTAAGCTAATAATCAATGAATGATGGTGGTGGTCTGAGATGATTTGTGAATTAATTTGTTAATTTTGTGTGTGGTCTTATTTTTTTCCGTTTCTAGTTTGTAGCTGTATTCGCCCTTTTGGCCGTAGCCAATGCCGGTTTCATTGCCCAACCTCAGGTGTATCATGCTGCTCCCGCCCATGCTACTGTTGTCAAGACTGTAGCTCCCGTCTTGACCAAGGCTGCTGAGGAATACGATCCTCATCCCCAATACAAATACGGTTATGATGTTCAAGACGCCATTTCCGGTGACTCCAAGACCCAAGTTGAGGAACGTGATGGTGATGTAGTGCGTGGTGAATACTCTTTGAATGATTCTGATGGTTTCAGACGTACTGTCTCATATACTGCCGACCCCATCAATGGCTTCAATGCTGTTGTCCGTCGTGAACCCTTGGTTGCCAAGACTGTTGTGAAGACTGTCGCCCCAGTTGCCCACTATGCTGCCCCCGCTGCCGTAGTTAAGACTGTCGCCCCAGTTGCTCACTATGCTGCTGCTGCTCCCGTTGTCAAGACTTTTGCTCCATCATACACCACCTATGCTGCTCCCGCCACCGTTGTTAAATCTGTAGCTCCAGCTTACACCACTTATGCTGCTGCCCCAGCTGCCATTAAGACTGTTGCTCCCGCCTACACCACCTATGCTGCTCCCGCTACCGTTGTCAAATCTGTAGCTCCTGCCTACACCACTTACTCGGCTCCTGCCGTTGTTAAGTCTGTAGCTCCCGCCTACACCACCTACTCTGCTCCTGCTGTTGTGAAGACTGTTGCCCCAGCCTATACCACCTACTCAGCTCCAGCTTACTACGCCCACCATCATTAAATGCCATTATTGTTGATAAAATTCATTATGTGACTGATGATAACCAATTTTTTGTTAGCCCAAATTATTGCCGTAGTTTGTAGATAAATAAAAAAAATATTTAATACAATCAAAATTAATAGTTGTTGTCAATATGAATGTTAGGAATTGAGACCATGCATAACGGCTCTTTCGGTATATATATACAAGTTCTCCACAAAATTGGACCATTCTAATGAGCCCCTTCTTCAAATTTAATCTAAGTGCAAATATTAGATGAAATCGGTTATTCCCTTCGAGAGTGCACAGCAGACAGCTAGACCGACGAACTTACGGACATTTTTAAAACGACTCTGGGTTTTAAACCGATATTTGAGGAAGCCTTTTCAGCAATGACAACGATGTAATCGGAAGTTCATATTTTGGGTACCACTTCAGAAACTTTGGTTAGTAGATTTTATAGAATAATCGTATTACAAATAGCGACTGAAAATTAGCATTCATATTGTAACACTTTTTTATTACAGGCCCACCTCAATAAACATAAATTCTCGAGTAGCGGGAATTAAAATAAGTTACCTGGTGTCCTGTAAGGGCTGTACGGCGGTGGGTCTTATCGAAATCCGCATTTATATTGAAATAGTTTGGAAAATACATATGCGAATTTTATAACGGTAACATTGTCTTAAATAAAGACGCAGTGGAACGGAAAACTAGCACAACAGAGTGAGTGGACAGACTGCGATTGTAAACAAGAGAAACCGTAGACAAACAAACGATTGCAAAACTAATAACCACCAAATGAAAGGAGAGACAGAGGACGATACCAAAACAAAAAAAGCCGAACAATAATGGGTGGTGGATATTTTTTCTCGGGAGGAAACTTTTTTATGTCAAAAGAGAGAGTGAGAAAGAGAGAGAGAGATGAAAAGTGAGTGCAATTAGTGATGAAATAGGAAGAAGTATAAAAATTGTCTTGATATTAATGAAATGTACAATATGAAATGTTCATTAAAATGTATTTCTGTCAATATCTAGGTATGCCACATGACGAAATTGTTTAAATGATATTGTTTAAATTTTGGAATAACTCCATATCAGGGTAGGGGTTTAAATGGTAAAATCCTTCCGTAATGACATTTATCAATGTCCATACGTCCATGTTTAATACCCTTCAGAATAACATTCTATGTCGATTTTGCCGTGTCCGCCTGTTTAACCCACTACAGAGCCCGTAATATTTTGAAATTTTATATATGAATTGCTACATCGGTTTAGTATGGCAAATTATAAATTACGGTCCAAATTTTATGATAGGGCATCTGTATATCTGTATATTTTTATACCCTTCACCACAATGTGGTACAAGGTATTATGTCTTTGTGCATATGTTCG